GAGCCAGTGAAGGGAGGAGGGGCGGAGAGGAGGCCGGTGACAGACGGGAGCTGGATCACGAAGGGCTGTGAAGGGCCATGGACAGGACTTCGGGTTTTACTCTGAATGGGATGGGAACTGTAGATGTGATTTGAGAAAGGGGTGTCATAATCTGCTTTGCTTCTTCAGTGATCACTTTGGCTGCCGGGTGGAGAATAGACGGTAGGAACAGGAGTAGAAGCACGGAAACCTTGTAGGAGGCTATTATATTATAGTCTTAGGCTTTTTTTTGTTTTGTTTTTAGTTTTCATTTTGAAATAATTTTTGACATTAAAGCCTTGCAAAATAGTGCAGAGTCCTGTACATCCTTCACCCATATTCCCCAAATGGTAATATCTTTGAAGATTACAGTACAAGTATCAAAATCAGGAAATTAATATTGATACAACAATATTCTCTAACCTACAGACCTTGTTCCCGTTTCTCCAGTTATCACACTAATATCCTTTTTCTGGTTCAGAATCCAACCCAGGACCACACGCTGCATTTGATTATAATGTCTCCTTAGCTTCCTTTAACCTGGAAGAATTCTTTAGTCTTTCCTTGTCTTTCAAGACCTTGGCATTTTTGAATTCTAGCCAGGATGTCCCTCCCTTGTAGAATGTCCCTTCATTTGAGTTTGTCTGATGTTTTCTCACGGTTAAATTCAGATTATGCATTTTTGATAACACCACCATAAAAGTGATGAAATGCTTCTTCTGAGGTGCATCGTATCGGGCACATGGCACTGATTTTCCCTGTTACTGGTATTAGCTTTGGTCAGGGTATGTGTCTGCCAGGTTTCTCCACTTTGATCACCCTTAGTAATTCATAAGCATTGATATTTTATGAGGAAATACTTTCAAACTATGTAAATATTTTGTTTCTCATTATTTTCTGTCCAATAATTTTAATGTCCTTTGCTGATTCTTACCATAAATAAGAATTATTGTGGTGACTGCCAAATTGTGTATATTTTTCTATTATCATTATTCCTTCTACACTTTTTAGTTGCAATTGTACTATAAGGAAAAATTTCCACTTCACTACTTATTTATTCAATTATTTATATTGGAATAGACCCACAGGTTCTTATTAATTTCTATGTGTGAGGATCTTCTACTACCATTTATTTATCTTGTTGCTCAAATTGCCCCAAATTTGGCCATTGAACCCCTTCACATTGGCTCCTGAGACCTTTTCACATGTCCCATCATTTTTTTGAGCACATCTTAGTTTTTTGTACCACATGATGTTCCTGGCTCAGCCTAGTTGCTCAATCCTAGAATATACATAGAATAGTTTCAGAATTGCTAACCTATTATATACAACCTATAGCCCTGTGAAATACAAACCTACTAACTAGAGTACATTTTTGTTGCGAAATCTTTTTATATTTAACCTTATTACCCTTTTCCAAAGTTATTTTTGTCACTTCTCCCCCTGCTCCCCTTTAGTATGATTGTATCATTCATTTGTAATGCACAGTTTCACTTGTTTCTGTTTATATTCCATTTTGAGTCCACACACACACACACACACACACACACACACACACACACTCCTAGTTGATTTTAATTATTTACTTGTTTTTGAGTATGTGAAATGTAAACATGGTTCTAAAACTCAGAACCAAATAAAAAAGCTATACTATGAGAAGTGTCATTCTCCTTCATCCCTTCATCATTCCTGTTCCCAGCCTTTCCCACAGCCCTGCTGTAATTAACAAATCCCATTCATTTCTCATTTACCCATTTTTTTTAGATGAAAGATAACATAATGAAGATATTCTTTCACACTTTGCCTTTCTCACTTTATGGTGTATCCTAGAAATGACTTCCTGTTCATCCAAGAGATCTTCATTCTTTTTTATAGCTGCATAGTACTCTGTGAATGTTTATTCATAATTTATTCACCCACAAGCATTTACTTGTTACCAATTGTTTAGCTTTTTCAAACAATGCTGAAATCAGTAGCCTCGTGCATGTATATTTTCATATTATTTGGTGGGAGTGGTGACAGCATCTTCAAGATAAACTCCTAGAAGTGAGATTGCAGGATTCAAGCTAAGTGCTTGTGTAGCTTGTGTAGTTTGGGGAAGATGTGACCTTCCCCACTTTGCTGGTTTGCATTCTCATCAGCAATTGATGAGAGTGCCTTTTTCTTCCACAGCCTTTACAACAAAATGTGTGTCATGCTTCTTAATTTTCCAGGCAAGAATTTTGATAGTGGCTCATACAAGGATAGCAGTTGAGGTAGTAAGAAGTGCTTAGATTCTAGATATATTTTGGAGGAAAAAGCAATTTGGAGTTTCTGATGGATTGCTTTGGAGGCTAAATTCTGTTTAAATATTAGGCGTCAATATTAATGGTTTAATATTCTTTTTATTAGTTTGACATTTATGAAGCTTTCCTCTTGGGCCAGCCTTATTGTAATAGTCCAGTAAATATATGGCATTGTAAAAGGTAATGCTAACTGCTCTAACAAGCAATTCTCAACATTTCAGGCCTTAATGCATCAGAAGTTTATTCCTCGCTCATGTAACGACCAGTACAGGTGTTGCTGACTTACAGCTCTCTTCCATGTGGTGATTCAGTCTCCTTGTAGAATGTAGTTTCTCCATGGCCCTGGGGTCTTGGAGTCCTGGGGAGAAAGTGGAAAAGGGATATCTTAACTGCCTAGGCCTGTAAGAGATTTCTGGGTGTGTTGCTGAGAACTGGTCACATGTCCCCTAGATGCAAGAGGGCCCGGTAAGTGTGGCCCTTGCAGGACAGCAGCCTTCCAGAGAGTGCTCTGTATGTGGAAGGGGGACTATAAGTCAGGTGGGCAGTTAGCTAACTCTGCCACAGGTATTTAACCAAGTAAGCCATTGGGGTACCGTGTGGGAGTAGATACCATGTTTTGCAGAATGCAGTGCATACCCTGGACTGTTACATTGCCCAATACTGAAGGATGGTTTTTTTAAAAAAGCATAATCATGGAATTTAATAGCAGGGAAAGAAGAAGAGGTCTACAGATGGAGGAGATACTTAGCTTTGAAAGACTAAGTAAGCATCACAGAAGAGTTCCAAATAAGGTTTATGGATGGGAGAGATTTTTGTGTTTTCATTCATCTGTTCCTTCATTCATTCAACAGACAGTACTAGGGCCTGTCTGCTGCTGGCTCTTTGTTTGGTGCTGGGGTGTGTGTGTGTGTGTGTGTGTGTGTGTACACACAAGTGGGTTGAAGGGGCAGGGAGTGGTGAGGAAAGAGGATATGGGAGTTACGGGGGGTAGTTACCACATGTGCACTGGAGGAAGTGATGTTTATTCTTACATGAACAGGAATAGAGGCCTGACAATTAAGTTTGTGAACTTGTTGCAACAATGTTGCTAACCATTTTTTATATCAGAGGGATTATTCATTGTGAATTTGTACCAACTGGGCAAACAATTCACCAAGTTTACTATTTGGAAGTGCCAAAAAGGCTGCGTGAAAAAGTTAGATGATCTGAACTTTCTGCCATGGCCCTTGCATCACGACAATGCACCAGCTCACACGGCACTGTCTGTGAGGGAGTTTTTAGCCAGTAAACAATAACCATATTGGAACACCCTCCCTGCTCACCTGATTTGGTCCCCAATGACTTCTTTCTTTACCTAAAGATAAAGGAAATATGGAAAGGGAGACATTTTGATGACATTCAGGACATCAAGGGTAATACAACGACAGCTCTGATGGCCAGCTCTGATGGCCATTCCAGAAAGAGTTCCAGAATTGCTTTGAAGGGTGGACTAGGCACTGGCATCGGTGCACAGCTTCCCCAAGGGGAGTGCTTCGGGGGTGACTGTAGCGATATTCAGCAATGAGGTATGTAGCACTTTTTCTAGGATGAATTCGTGAACTTAAATGTCAGACCTCTTATATACAAGCTGAATGTTGTGTGGGTATAGGAAGAAGCTATTAAGCATAATTCTTGAACAAAAAAAATCTGAGACAATTATATAAGAGAAACTTTCATAAAAGCTCCTAAAGTACAAGACTTTGTTAGAACAAGTTGATACTCTAAAGAAGAAAGACATCAGATTCTGACAAATAAGGACCTATTTTATGTTCTTTTCAGAATATAGTATTTTTCATAATGTAAAAAATGTGTATTTCTCACATCCTTAAGTATTGGTAGCCTTTGTGCTCATTTTATATGGAAAAAGTTGTTATTGTTCTCAGTGCACAAGGAGTCCAATTTATAAGGAGACTGCCAGAGAAGAAAACTTGTCATAATATTTTATAGCCACACTGCTAGAGTAATACGGATAACCAACATCTGTACTGCACCGTGTACAGAGTGGTCCTGTGTAACTGATCCTGTCTGATTCTCACCACAATCCTATGAAGTAGGTAATGGCTAGGGCAATATTATCAGTAGTAGTAGTCCTGTCACCATCATCCCCATTTTAGAGTTGAGGAAACTGACATTTAAGGATGTAAATGACTTGCCCGGGATCTGTAAATTTAAATGCCCAAAGAGAGAAAATAAATTTTAAATTCTGATATTGTAGTCTAATTATATCTGATGTTTAAGAATAAAAAATCTAATTGTGCCTTTTTAAACCCTATTTACTTTGCATCTATTATTGTCAGGGTAGGAAATAGACAGCAGTTTAAAAAATGTAGATAAGATTTCCGAAGTGTAATATTTTCCATTCTTCTTTGAATCATGTCTATTGTTTGAAGGTCAGTTGTCTTTTTCATTTTTCATTGGTCTTTATAGTAAATGATTTTATGGTACATTTAAATTTGGGGGAGAAAGTGCTTAAAGTATGAGACTTTTATTCTTAGAGCCAACTTTTTTCTCTTTGGGGACTTACTGTTTGTTTTTTCAACAAAAACGTTATTATATGCCAGAAACTGCACTAGATCCTAACTTCTTTACATTCACATTTTCCTGGTGAATAATAATCCTTACTCTGTGACTAACGTTCAGCTGTGTCTGGTCTCTTAGGTGGGGTGACTGCTCTCTGTTGGGACCCCGTCCAGCGAGTTTTGTTCTCAGGCAGCTCCGATCACTCTGTAATCATGTGGGACATCGGTGGGAGAAAAGGAACAGCCATCGAGCTCCAAGGACACAAGTAAGACCGCTGGTGCTTTTATAAAGAACCCTTGAGAAAAGATTCCCTGCTCAAAGCTAGAACAAAGGAGCGTGGCTCTTTCTCTATGCCAGGATCCTAGCATGGGAAGGAGCATGGCAGGAAAGCAAATAATAGCCACTTTGATTTATATCTGCACGTAAGTATGTTTATTTATTTATGCCCCATTTTATTCCACAGAGGATTTGAGACTGCTTACAGAAACCATAAAATAAAATGATGGCAGCAAATAAATAAAAGGTAAAAATTAGAACTAGGGAGAGTATAAGAGTAAAAATTTGAGAGAGAAAGAAAAAAGAGCTTAAAAATACAAGTCATGAAGGCATACAGAATTTCTGTAATTGAGGTCAAATGTGGCTTCAAGATTCCTGGCGGCTTTAGGAAGAAGGGGGGAGATAATATCCTTCCTTACACAGTACATTTTGTACTTCACCAAATATTTATTGAGTACTTGTCTTGATTCATATCAGGCTCTTCTTGCTTAAGGGACCGATTTCAGGGGGCTGAGAGGAAGATCAGAGAAAGCCATGTGTTTCCTTGGAGCCGTTCTCCAACTTGGCCATACACAGAGAATCGCTGAGGAATTTGTTTAAAGTAGATTCCTGGGCCCCGTCTTCGGAGACTCTGGTCCCCAGCCTGGAGCTGCAGGTGTCTGTGTGGTAACAAGCCTCCCAGGCAGCTCTCTGCTGGTGACCCTGAGACCATACTCTGATTTGTCCTACTCGGTGCTGCGCACAGCCCCTGGGGGCAAAGTCTGATCATGTTGCAGAAAAGAATTTTATATCTGCTGTAGAACTCTAAAGCTAACCTAAATTGTTTTAACTTGTCAAGTTTTAAAAATGATATTAAGAGTCACTCCAGCCAGCCATAAAGAACTGTCAGTATGCCCCCATGAACTGACAGGTTTTAAGCAACATTAGCTCTTCCTATAAATCTGCCTGGAAACACTAGTTTTAAAACATTCTGCTAACTAGTTAAATGTACAGTTTAGGATTATTGAACTAATTCAGTTTTGGAGGGCCTGTGCACAAATAGTTATTTTAGTGTTAGAGTTTAGTTTTAGCGAAGTAGCTATTAATATTAAGCCCTTCATTCCCACATTAGAGGACAGACCAGTTGTCTGGGACCACAGCTGGCTTGTGGGGCCGCTCAGACCTCGTCATCAGTTCATGAGAGAAATCACTGCATTACACTTCTCTCCTCTCTCTGACAAGGGGCATGCATCAAGATCATGTAGAAGGAGTTGACGTTATCCGTGTAACTGAAGAAAAAGAAGCCAGGCACAGTCCTGTGTAGTAACACTCAGCTATTATCTAATCTGCCGGGTAATTCCTGTCACCTTGGGCTCTCTCAGAGAAATAAAATGCAAGTTTTGAATGAAGATCAGTAATATTTGCTGGACTCATTCAGATGAGCTCAGAACTAGTTTTGTTTTTGCACAGAGCTTGATAAAGACTGTCAGCATGCTTACATGACCCGTCCACGGGGCGGGAGTGTCACGGCGCTCCACACCAGCGTCGCTGTGTGCTGAGTGTCCTCACGCAAAGTGTTGTTCGGGGAAACTTGCACCTACAGCTTGGTAAGAAAGAAAAGGCTGTAAAGTTGAAATGTGGACTCCCGGTCCCGGAAAAATGAAACCTAAACTGATAGGTCTTCCAGTTTCTGAGTAATGTGGCCTTGGCCTTTTAGGAAATGGAACAGACGGTACTTGGAGTCCGTCCCTTAGTACCTGTGGGGCAGGCAGACTGGTGCAATCAGCAGCCCCAGTCAGAACTGGCTTTCAGTAGGAAAAACACAGGCCTTTGCCTCGTGCTTTCACTCAAGCTTAGTAACAAAGGGAACTCGAGGAGGGGCTCTCGGGTCTCGGCCTGAGAGGGGATGCCTGGTGTCACTGAGCTAGGAGAAGTAAACGCCTCAGCATCAGCTGCTGTTCCTCTGTTGGAGCGGGCTTGAATGACTGAGGTGGGGCTGGGGGAGCCATTGGAGCTGCCGGAAGGAGGAGGATGGGATTCACACAGAAGGTTTAGGGAAGAAAGGGCCAGGATAGCAGGCGGAAACGGAGAAGCCATAGGCCCACTGTCATCACAGCCTGTTCTTTGCCATGAAAATTGGCCACTGGATCGGTGTTCAGCTATTCTTGTGTTTGAATGGTGCCTAATATTTTGTCTAAGAGCTTTCAAAATACACCGACCCCTCAGCGTAATCTTACAATAACCCTATGAAAGAGAGAAGCCAGATACCATTTTTTTAGATGGGAATACTGAGCTACCATCCTCAAGGACCCCAGCTGGAAGCTTAGGTCCCCAAACCTTAGTGCAGTTTGAATTAAGAAAGCTATTCATAACCATCTTTGTATCCAGCTAGGTTCCAGAGATATAAAAATGAACATTGAATAACCCATGGTCCCTACCATGCCCCATGATGTTTTCTGTCTCTTTTCTACTTTAGAGGCCCAGGAATTTCTGCCTGGGGCCTGAGGCTTTGCCCTGCTGTCTTAGTTCTCAGTCCCCCACCTTCCCCGGGGTGACTAATGGTGATCAGAGTTCCAAATCAGAGACCGAATTGGTGAGCTGGGGAACAGGGGAGACCAAGTGGGACCAGAGCTCCCCGTCCCCTGGGGAGAGACTGCTTTCTCCTCTTCTGGAAGTGCCCAGCCATAGTGTGGAGGGACAGCCCCACATGGCTTCTGTCCCGGGCTCTGAAACTTCTTCCCATCCTTCAGCAGCAGAAATACGACATTTTGGTAACTAGTTTGATTTTGTGTGTAAAAATCCCATCAAAGCAGAGAGAGCTTTAGCACTAGAGTAAATGATTGATGATAACAAAAAGATTTCCAAGTCCAAGGGGCAAAACAGCTAAGAAAGCATACTTCTATACAATTTTTTCTGCATTGGAAACATTTTGGTGTTTTTGTTCCCTGCAGCAAATGGAGCATGATTATGTGCTATCTCTTTGGAAAGGCAAAGAAAAGGTTCTAGTTTCAGGGAGCGGTTAGGTTTTCAAATATCAGTTATCAGTTGGATGGATATTATCGAAGCATAAACCTGGACATTTATTGCCCCATGCCCACCTTGTCAAATCTAATAATGGTACGTGGGCTTTTTAGATCTTTTTTTATTCTTAGATAATACCTGTCATTTCATAACCAACTTTATGACCATAATTTTTCTTATGACAGTGTTTTCTTAGGCTTCTAAGAGTTTTTGGCAATTTAATGGTAACTTGATTTAAAGCACAAATAAAAGGTCTTTGTGGTCCCTTGTGGGGGGCCCCCAGGTTGCACGAGGCTCAGTCACAACCAGGATTCTTGGCGCGCATTGCCTGTGTGTTCACTTCCTATTTCCGTAATCCCAGCTCTTGGTTTCTCTCTTCCTATGCTGACCATCTGTAAGACCTTTGGTAAAGAAATAGGCTATTTATAAATAAATACACATTGGGATAATTTGTGCTTTTTCCTCATGTATCAGTAAATTGCATACCAGGATCATTGTGTATGAAAGCTTTCTCTCCTTCCGAATCTGAGGTTTAGGAGCATTTCTGACTGTAGAACTGGAGAATTATTAGGATAGAGGGGAAGAGATGTCTTTTCTATTTTTAACTATTTGGCTAAACGCATAATCACTGAAGGCATTAGAAACGAGTTCTCACAGAGGGTAGAATCTTGTGAAAGACAGAGGGGGCCTGTATAGTGGTCATTAAGTGCTGACCTCTGAGTCAGGCCTGCTGGGTTTGAGCCAGCCCTTCTGCTAATGGCTGTGTGGGCTTTGGCAAGTCACTTCCTCTCTCTGATCCTCAGTTTCCTCATCTCTAAAGAAAGGACAACATTAGAAAGGAAAACCCTCAAAGGTTATCAAACCCACAAATGATATAATGATATGATGCGTGTAAAATAATCACAAGAGTAAAGACTAATAAATGGCAGTTGTTAAAATTATACTTATTAATAAAAATTAGAATATCTCTCTGATTGTAGCATTTCCATGGAAATGTCGCCACATAACACCTACTCCCCCTATTCCTAATACATTCAACAAGTGTTACTGAGCTCCATCTACACAACAAACTGTGCGTTAGGCACCAAGGACGCTAAGGTGACTAAGAAACTAGCCCCTGCCTGTATGGAGCTGTGCACAGGTATGAAAATGGGGTAAAGGTGGGACAATTCGTCAGTGTTACTGGGAAATGGGAGGCCTCAGCGCTGGGGGGTAGGGGGTCATTCTTGATTTGGGTCTTAGAAGATGAAGAGATTCTCATAGCTCTAACAATCAGGAGGTTAACCAACACTGAACTGCATGAACTAAATACAGTGTTTTCTGGAGACTGCAAGTGGACAGAGGGGCATGGCTAATCTGAACTTCTACCCAACCCACTAAACAGCAAAATGTTGCTGATGCTTAAAATAGTGTTCCCAAACTGGGGTGCCTGAGTTCAGGTTCAGACTGGCTGTGGTCCCTGGTGAGGCATATCCTTCATGGGTCCCTCTGGTGTGAGATAACCCTAGGGATCAGTTAACTGGGAGACCTCACATATGTGGATTGCCCACAAGCCTCTCTGGTCCTTTGAGGTTTGGAAAACTTATGAATATGGGAGTTCTGAACATAAAAGAGCAATCTTTCTGGTAGCAGATGCATAACTGATTTGATTTTCACCAAGTAACGTATGACTTTGCATCAAATAAGTAAAAGATGCTATACATTTACGTGCCCCCTACTCTTATGGGATGGAAGAGGGCCTAAGCTGACATTTGGGCAGATGTTAGCCTGTGTCTGAAAATCTGTTTGTATAAAAAGGATAAAGGCGTCTCTACCTTTTTTCCTTAAGAAGCATCAGACACAGGACCAGCTTTCTGGGCATGCAACCTGTGCAGTCCAAAAGACCTCATGCTTAGAAGGTCCCCACACTTGGTTTCATGCTCTGCTATCACCATCTTGTCATTCTTTACACATTTTTAACAAGGGGCCCTGTATTTTCATATTGCATTC